ATTAATTACAATAAAATATCTAAAAGAAAGTCCCAAGCTTCTTTGTTCAAAAATACAAAAGTTGATATTTCTACCAAATACCATTTCCGATCGTTCAGTTATATGGCAGCTATATGATACAGTCGGCCGATCCTTATGAAATTTGGCATGTCGTATTATTTTGCCAAAAATGGCTCTCATGTGAAATTTGAACTCCTGATCAAGATCAGGATCACCTCCTGAGTTGATATGAGCATGTCCGTCATGTGAAATTTGAACTCCTGATCAAGATCAGGATCACCTCCTGAGTTGATATGAGCATGTCCGTCTGTCCGTCTGTCTGTCTGTTTCTACGCGAACTAGTCTCTTAGTTTTAAAGCTATCGCCTTGAAACTTTGCACACACCCTTCTTTTCTTTGCACGCAGTATATAAGTCCGAACGGCCCGGATCGGCCGTCCTATAGCTGCCATATAACTGATTGATCGGAAATGGTATAACTTTGGTGTTTTTTAAGTAAGAGAGTTCAAATTTCACATGAGAGCCATTTTTGGCAAAATAATACGACATGCCAAATTCCGTAAGGGTCGGCCAACTATATCCTATAGCTGCCATATAACTGAACGATCGGAAACTTTCGTGTTTTTGAAGATAGAAAGCTGAAACTTGGCACAGATTATATTTTTGGTCAGTTGATCCAACCTACCAAATTTCGTAACGATCGGCCGACTATATCTTAAAGCTGCCATATAATTGAACGATCGGAAATGGTTTTTGGTAGAAATACAAACTTTGGTATGTTTGAAGATAGAAGTATGGGACTTTTTTGGGACTTTGTATTGTTATAAATAGGATTATATATTTATATTCCAATAAAGATCGGCCAACTAAATCCGATGTTTGCGACCGGAAATAGGTTTTAACTGCAAGGGTATATAAACTTCGGCTCCGCCCGAAGTTAGCTTTCCTTTCTTGTTTTGGTATCCGGTGGAATATGGTTCCAAATGGGAGGTCATTGACGCATACGAATCTCAAGGGGCCGTAAGGTTAAGACAACAAGGCAGGTGTTTTTTTTTGTTCTTTTTTTTTTTAAGAAAGGATTGAAAATTCCAAAAACTTTTTGAATTTTCTGTGTTTTGACTAACAAATATTGCACCAAATCAACATATTTTTGCACCAAAACACAGGCTATGGGTTGATCATTAAAATATCAGTTTTTCTTTTTCTTTAACAAAGAGTTCCAAGATGGTTTAATTGGTGCGGTTTAATTTAAGAGTGGGTTTAATTGTGTTATTGTAATTTATATGACAATACACTATTAATAAGGGAAAAATATTTATTCTCGTTGCAAAGAAACCAAGGGAGAAAGGGAAAAGATCGCTTCGTTACGTAGAAAGCTGGACAAAAAATTCAAATTCAATTGTTATGCCAAATTAAATTCAATGGCATAAAATATGAATTGAAGCCCAACCCAGAAAGGAAAGCTAACTTCGGGCGGAGCCGAAGTTGATATACCCTTGCAGTTAAAATCGGATGTATTTCGAATACATCAGATATAGTTGTCCGATCCTTATGAGAATATCATAATATAACCAATTTGTAAAAAATAAAGCTCAAACAAAGTATTAAGCTTCTGTCTTCAAAAATACAAAAGTTGGTATTTTTTTCAAAAAACCATTTCCGTTCGTTCAGTTATATGGCAGCTATAGGATATAGTCGGCCGATCCTTATGAAATTTGTCATATCGTATTATTCTACTAAAAACAGCTTTCGTGTAAAATTTGAACTCTCTTACTCTAAATACACCAAAGATATACCATTTCCGATCAATCAGTTATATGGCAGCTATAGGATATAGTCGCCCGATTACGGCCGTTTCGACTTATATACTGCGTGCAAAGAAAGGAAGGGTGTGTGCAAAGTTTCAAGTCGATAGCTTTAAAACTGAGACTAGTTCAGACGGACATGCCCATATCAACTCAGGAGGAGATGCCTCCTTCACTGCGTTGCACACTTTTGGACAAAATTATAATACCCTCTGCAAGGGTATAACAAAAAAGGAGAAAATCGAATGTGGTTTTTATGTTTTTTCAATCTGCACATTTCATTTATTTTTGAGTGAAAAAAATTTTAACGCTGAAATTATTATTATTTTATAATTTATTTATTATTTTTTTTATTTTTATACTGTCGGGTCTATACAGTTTATAGTTTATTTATTACGCTAAAGTATGGACATATAGCCTTAGTTGGTCGCAAGCCGACTCTTTATCGGCCACTCGACTTCAACGGGCCTATTTTAAGAGAGTTTTAGCTTCGCAATGTCTATGTCGTGCCGCACTCACTGTTCATATTATTATTCACTGCTTAACACCTTAAACTGGACGATCACAATTGTTGATCCCAGTTTCATCTGCCTGCAGAAATAAATAAATTATAACGTACAATTCTTAAATTCTACCTTTTTATTTTGGAGCGGATATACGTCATTGAAAACCATCCATGACCAAACATATACCCTTGCAGAGGGTATTCTAATTTTGGTCAAAAGTGTGCAACGCACTGAAGGATACTTCTCCGACCCTATAAAGTATATATATTCTTGATCAGGATCACCTCCTGAGTTGATATAAGCATGTCCGTCTGTCTGTCTATTTCTACGCAAACTTGTCTCTTAGTTTTGAAGCAACTTTGCACACACCCTTATTTTTTTTGCACGCAGTATATAAGTCGGAACGGCCGGGATCGGCCGACTGTATCCTATAGCTGCCATATACTTGATTCATCGGATATGCTATAACTTCGGTGTTTTAGAGTGAGGGAGTTCGGATTTTTACGAATGCTATTTTTGCCAAAATAATACAACCCACCATAAAGAAAATCGGGAAATTTCATAAGAATTGGCCGACTTTATCCCATAGCTGCCATGTAGCTGAAAAATCGAAAATGATCCAATTTCGTGTTTTTGAGAACAGATTTTATTTTGGCTTAGTTAATTCCAACTACCGAATTTCATAACGATCGCCCGACTATATCTTATAGCCGCCATATAACTGAACGATCGGAAATGGTTATTGGTAAAAATCTTCTTCTTGAAGATGGAAGTTTGGGAATTTTTTTATATTTTGTATTGTAATGAACTGGTTATATTATGATATTCTTATAAGGTTATTCGGTTTTAACTGCAATAATATGTACAAAGTTTTAACCTTCTATCTTCAAAAAAAAAACGAAAGTTGGGTGATTTCCAATCAATCAGTTATATGGCAGAGGACATAGTCGGCCTATTCCGGGCGTTTCGGCTTATACAATGCGTGCAAAAGAAAGAAAAATTTTAAAGTTTCAAGTCGATAGCTTTACAACTGAGAGTCTTGTTTGCGACACAACAAACGGAAGAACAGACATGCCTCATATCAAATCAGGAGGTGATCCTAATCAAGAATGTATATACTTGATATATATACTTTGCACACGTTTGGCTAAAATCATAATACCCTCTGCAAGGGAATAATTATATTCAGATCCTGTTTTGGGGGATTTTCGAATTTTGAAGCATAGGGGAAACGGATTTCGAATTCATATTGTTTTAGGGGTTGATTTACGTGCGCACGCGCCAGTTAAACGAGAGGGCCAATGAGAGAGTATATATATTTTGAAATCTGTCTATTTGTTCATAACAGCAGTGGTGTATGTAATTGTGTACTTTGAAGAAAGCCATTGGTAAATTAAAGATGGCGGCTGAAAATATCCTCATCCATAATAGAACACATACAAGCTTGATAAAATGTTCAATCAAAATGTTGAATTCAAATTTGAATTAAAAAAATTTTTAAACAAACGCGTATAAGAATTTAATAACAATAAATCGACTATACGAATGGTAGAACAAATTAATTTTCTTATTTTAGGCCTTTATGTATCGACATAATATCAAAAAATATTTTTTTTTCAATATATTTGTACTTTTATGTTGTTGGCCATTATGCATGTCCTTCTTACCCTTCCGCCCCACCTCCCTAACCAATCCCTAACCTACCGTTAAACCCTTTGTTTCGTAGGGATAGATTGGATAGTACGAAACATAAATACCCAAGAAATAAAAACCAAATGAAAAGAATGTTGGTACTTAATAATTGGAAATTGAATAGTAAGGATTACGGAATTTTTTACGTTTAAATCCGTTTAATAGAAACAGTATGTTTTGTGCTTGAAATCGAGTCAAGCGATTTAAAAAAAAATATATTTCAAGAAAACCCTTTTTAAAGTTTTGAGTTACAATGGAACTAGAAGAAGAGCGTAGCTTCTTTTTACTTTACCTCCAAAAGTATAGCTCGGTATGCGCTATAACTTGTAGGTTTAAAAAAAACAATTGTAGAATTAACAAAAACTTGTTTTCCCTAAAACACGTTAATATAAGAAAAGTAATATAGGATCTTGTCGGCCGATTTTTACAGTAGTCGATTATAACATAAATTGTATGACAAAGGAATTTCTATTCCTTCCAAAATCTCCAAAATCGGAAGACGACAGCTTTTAAAACCAAAATACTACTTTTCGTAAAATAGACGGATGGTAATTCTCGGCGATATAAGTTGATATAAGTCGGCGATATTCCCTGATCTTTTTTTTATTTCGTTGCACACTTTTAAAACAATTTTGTCAATCATTGGAAGGCATTTAGGTATACTTATTCATTATTTAAATGTTACCAAGCGATTCGAAAACAAATATTTGAAACAAGTGAATTTTTTTTATTTATTTGTCATGCCCACGGTTTTTATATCGTCATGCCCACTGTTACTTTGTTCAATTACTTAAACACTTAGTTCTCCCTGAATAAATTTTATTAAGAATACTAATACAGATATCTAATTTTAAACATATAATATTATTCACACTGCTTTGAAAAATTTTGTAGTCTCTATAACATGTCCGACAAAGTCAGGACTTAAAAATAAAAAAATATTTGTTGCCACAAAAAAAAAAAAAAAAAAAAAAAAAAAAAAAAAAGTTATTGACTTACCTTGAAAATCTACTGTTCGTTGTATCTTGAGCTACACTGTCTTGTTTGGAACTTGCTCCCATTATAGATGGATGTGTATTTAATACATGGTGAGATGTAGCATGTACTGAAGGCAAAAGGCTTGGTGAAAATCGGAAAGGAAAATCGCTAAAATATATAAGAAATATATTATTGTATAAGTGTAGTTTAATATTGCGCTTCATGTTTTTATTAAAACATTTAATGATTTTGTTTGAAAAACTATGGAAAAACTTCAACAAAAATTTTGGATCAGACGTATATTGCAAACAACGGATTTAGTTGGCCCATCCTTTCTTTTAAGTAATTTGGGAGGGGAATTTAACCTTTAAACCAGGGATCGGCACCCCAATACATTGATATGATTTTACCGCATTAGTGTTAGTAACGAATAGCAGAAAGTAGGCTGTGTGCATGACGTTTCACACATGTATACTGTGTGTGTGTGGCAGAGCTCGGGCAGAGAAATTTCCTATGCCCCCGAGATAGGGCCGTGCCGACCTCTGCTTTAAACTAATTTCTAACTATACAAATTTTGAAAAAGCCCCAAGTTGCTATCTTCTAAAAAGCCAATGTTATGGGTGTTATGAATGTTAAGCCAATGTTATGAATAGGTAGAATTATGGTAGATCGGATCAGTAAGCAAAGTAGTCGATTTTCCCGACCCGACCATATCTCTTTCACCTAAAATTTAACTAACTAATTTTTATTTTTAAACACTTTAACGGTATGGATTCTCAGCAAAAAAATGTTGTAGCATACTTTTGCGCTTGGGCAAAACAACAAAAACTAACGTACTGGCATGCTACCAATTCAGTAGGGAAGTAGACTAAAAAGTCTACGAATCCTCTAAATATTATCCGATTTGGCTGATTTTTAGCAATTGGAGGTGTAGATTAGCAATTGGAACAGTTTGCCGTCAAAACATTTTCCAAAAACATTAACGAACTGGCGCTAACATTATATTCCTGTTTTGGAGGCGGACTCTATCTCTTGTAGTCTTCGAGATCGCACTTTTTTCAGATTTTTTTCATATATACATATATAAACTTTAGAAATAGTTTGTCATCAAAAGTTTTTCAAGAAACCGTTCTTTTCTGGCGATACAGACATTCGCGATTTTTGGGGGCTGGAGGGGGCGTGCCAAAATTTTAAAACGAACAAGAACTGCCTGGGTATTTTAGGAGTCTCCATGCCATATAGTCTCTAAATATAAAATCCATATCTCTTGTAGTCTCTAAGATCCTCGCGTTCATACCGACAGACGGGCATGGCTATATCAACTCGGCTGTTGATTCTGATCAAGAATGTATATACTAGAGGTGGGCACGGGCCGGGCTTTTTTTCGTGGCCCGCGGGCTTACAACCGCCATTTATCGTATTTTTATTGCTTATCGATGTTACTATCGATTTGCTTAAACAATATTTTACTTGTTTGCACACTACTATTTAAAATTTGGCGTCCTATTGTAAAATCCATAAACTTTGAAAAATAAAATAAAAATAAAAACATGAATTAGGATTAATAAATATGAACTTATATATATATGTATACATAAATAACATGTCTTTTAAATTTTGAAATATGTTTAAAAAGGTTTCGTGCCGGGTCGGGGTGGGCCCGGGCCTTGATGAAAAAGTTTCGTGTTCGGCCGGGCCGGGCCTCTCAAAAAAGATTTTGTTTTCGTGCGGGCACGGGCCCCAAAATACAGAACCGCGCCCACCTCTAGTATATACTTTATGGGGTCGGGAATAATTCCTTCTCTAAGTTACATATATTCACACGACTACAATATAAAAACAGGTTTAAAAACTCGGGAGGTGATCCTTATCAAGAATATAGTATATGTTTAACACTTTGAACCAAAATTATCGACCCTTAGAAATTTTATTAAAACTGAGGAACTAGTCGCGGAGAAACCTACAGATAGTAGACTACAGATACTACAAGTATAAAAACATACATTCAGTTAATAATTGCAACCTGTATAAGAATCAAGAAAAACTAAAAATAATGAAAATTGGATTTTTAGAAGAGACCGTCTTAAAATTTTGGAACAACATTCTAAAGATGTTTAAGTGTTTAATACAAAAATTGACAAAATTTGACTTTTTAAAAACGCAAAAACATTAATTTTTTTTAATATGCCCTTAAGGGTATTTTTTTTTTTACAATTTTTTTTTTTTGTACAATTTTTTTTTTTTTATTGTTATAAATGCTTTAAGGGGTTATATACAGTTGTGATATATGAAAAAATCGATTTTTTTTTATTGCATATTCTTTAAGTATATTCTATTGGGAATACTCTCACGAAAATTCATAATTATCGGAGCATTAGAACCGAAGCTGTAGCTATTTATATCGCACTATCTGCATATAAAACTTGAACAAACTTGAAACTTTAAACGCGATTATCTCAGAATCTTTTTTTGGGGAAATTACCTTTGCGGTGGACACGATTACTACTAAAACTAAAACGAAAAACTACTAATCGGATCAACACCAAATTTTGATCACTTATTTATTATGATATTAGCTAGTCCGTGAACGAGGGATTTTCAATTTTTTTGAAAACTACTTTTTTAAGGGGAGGGTAAGGTATTAAATTTTTTTTTTGTCATTTTTTTTTTATTTTTTAAATTGAATGCATAATATTTGAAGAATATTGTGTCAAAATTTCAAGTCAATTAAAGCAAAATTGACGAGGTTATTAGTTATTGACGAAGTTGCTTGCAAACGTTTTACACTGGATTTTTTTGTGTTTAAAACTTTAAAGCGTTTTTCCCACAACTCACTTTTTCAAAGTCGGTGCCCCTCATAACTTCAAAACTACTGCACCGATCCTTTTGAAATTTAAAACACTATTTCTGTACATATTTTACGAGGTAACGCTGTCGAGTTTTTTTTTTTGTTCATAATTTTGATTTTGCAATGACAAATTAACCGATTTTTCCCAAAAATTGAGTTTTTCACTTCAAAGTCTTCGAAAAAATTAAAAAATTGCTATTTTCAAAAAACCTTTACAGCGTTACCTGGGGCGAACTATTATCTAACGAATGAATTTTCATTTTTTGATTACAAATGATCCAGCACCGAGTTATGAGGGGCACCGCAATTCAACTTTTTTTGGCGACACGTCCGGACAATTGCTACCATTGCCATATTTTTAAATATTTTTTTGTAAAAATTTTATTAAACATTCTTCTAATGTCATACATTAATATACCGTTGGTTGAATAAATAAATTTTAACTGTGTCGTCAGGAAAAAAATCACAAAAACATGGCTTTTTTCGCATGATTTGACCTTACCCTCCCCTTAAAGCACAAAAAACGAAAATCTTATAACTTGAAAAAGTACATTTTTTGTTAAAAACGTCGCCATTTTTTTTTTAATCAAAATTTTAACAAATCCTCGTTCACGGACTAGACAATACAATATACTAACTAAACTTTTTTGAATTTTGGATTTCGGATGAACCGTTTTCGAGAAATCATGTCCACCGCAAGACACCATCAAAAAAAGACGATCCGGGAATTCGGCTATAACATTTTTGTTATGTAATATTTTTTTATGAAAAAATTTAATGAAGTACCCAGAAACATGTACTAAACAACGTCGTTAAAACATTTTTCATGAATATTTTCTATGGTGTCAAAAAAAAATCGATAAAAATCCATATATTTGCGCGGTACAACTGTATAAAACCCCTTAAATGACAAAAATATTGGCGTCGAATTCCAGATAAGATAGTTTGTCTATTCATTTTTGCCAAATGCTTTAAAATGGCTCTGCTGCTTTTTCTGGGAATTTCCAAAACAAGGCAGCGACATTTTTGAGAAATCTTTTGGTGATAGAAGTAATTAATGAATGTTTTAAATAAGAAAGATTACCTTGAAAGCGTTGAATTTATTGGCAATGAAGAAGGATATGGAGTTCTAAAACTCGATGCAGAGTATACAGACGGTGTATGCCTGTAAATAAACATAGGTATGGACAAAGAAGCATTTTTTGTATTAAATTGTCTTTGCCCTTAAGTCTTCAAACTATCAAAAATCATACCACGAAGCCACTTGAGATATGTCAGAACTCAGCATTGGGTATGGATATTGACCTGCGGCAAACGGATATATGGTGGGACGAGTTAGGCCTGAAAATACAATTTAAAAAATAAATGGTAAATAATTAAAATATTTATTGCGTTTTTTTTTTTTTGTAAAGAATAGGAACTTTAGAAACCATTATGATTGCCTTATTGGTTTGTAACGAAGTGGAATTAATACCTCCCATTATTTTTCAAAACACAAAAAAAAATTCCCATAATTCTGTAAAACTTACATCTAAAACTTTATAGTCAAAAGTTCTTGCGTCTGTCTCCTTCTACGCGAACTAGTCTCCGCGAAAATATCGAATTCAAAATATTAATAATTCCTTCTTTTCTTTGCCCGCAGTATATAGGTCGGAACAGTTGGGATTGGCATATAATCGATAGCTGCCATATAACTGACTGATCGGAAAAGATCGGTATCGGTCGGTATAACTTTGGTGTTTTTAGAGTTCAGATTTTGCATGAATGCTATTTTTGGCAAAATAATACGACATACCAAATTTCAAAGATATCGACCGATTATATTCGATTATATTTTCTTTAAAGTTAACGGTACAGTTTTTTTAATTATGCAATTTTGTATTTTTATCTCTTACTATATCCTATAGCTGCCATATAACTGATTGATCGGAAATGGTATAACTTTGGTGTTTTTTAAGTAAGAGAGATTACTTAAAAACTAATTTCACATGAGAGCCATTTTTGACAAAATAATACGACATGCCAAATTTCATAAGGATCTGTCGACTATATCCTATAGCTGCCATATAACTGAACGATCGGAAATGACCCAACCTTCGTGTTTTTGAAGATAGAAAACTTAGTAGAGATTATATTTTTGGTCATTTTTGAACGATCGGAAATGGTTTTTGGTAGAAATGTCAACTTTGGTATTTTTTAAGAAAAAAGTTTAGTACTTTTTTTTGATTTTGTATTTTAATAAATTGGGTTATATTATTATATTCTCATAAGGATCAGCCAACTATATCCGATTTTTGCGATATATATCCGGTTTTAACTGCAAGGGTATATAAACTTCGGCTCCGCCCGAAGTTAGCTTTCCTTCCTTGTTTATTATAATATTAGCTAGTCCGTGAACGAAGGATTTTCAATTTTTTTGAAAACTCCCTTTTTAGAGCATAAAAATCGAAAATCTTATACATTGAAACAGTACATTTTTTGTTAAAACCGTCGCCATTTTTTTTTAAATCAAACTTTTTACAAATCCGTTGTTCACGGACTAGGCAATACAATATACTAACGAAAGTTTTTTGAATTTTTGATTTCGGATGAACCGTTCTCGGGATAAAGGCGATCTTGGAATTCGGCTATAATATTTTTATTATTTAATATTTTTTTTATTAAAAAATTTAAGTAAGTACCCAGAAGCATGTACTAAACAACCTCGGTAAAACATTTTTAATAAATATTTTCTATGGTGTCAAAAAATTTCATTTTTTTGCACGGTACAACTGTATATAACCCCTTAAGGGGTTAAACTTGAAGTGAATCTAAAAGTTTACGGAAATAATATTGGTATTTTACTTTTTTTTTCACTTTTTGCTAAAAGACCTAATGATGTTAGACCTTTAAAAGACCGAATCGAATAGAACACCTTTAGATAAAAAAAACACTCAAAAGGTTCTGCAATCGAGTTTTTCCTTTTGATCGGATTCTTATGAGAATATCAAAATATGTCCAAGTTATTATACAAAATCTAAAAAAAAAACTCTTTTATAATAGTTTAAAAAAAAAAGCTTCTATCTTCAAAATACCAAAGTTGGTATTTTACCTATAATTTGGTATTTTAATATGGGAGCTGTAAGATGTATTCGGCCGATCGTTATGAAATTCAGTAGATCGGATCAACTGGACAAAAATAGAATCTGTACAAAGCTCAAACTTTCTATCTTCAAAAACACGAAAGTTGGGTAATTTCCGATTGTTCGGTTATATGGGAACTATAGTTGTCGGATAGTCGGCCGATCCTTATGAAATTGGGTATGTTAATCAAATAATCAAACAATTTTTTCCCCAATAATATCATTGTTACAAAATCAGCTATAGGATATAGTCGACCGATCCCGGCCGTTCCGACTTATATACTGCGTGCAAAGGAAAGAAGGGTGTGTGCAAAGTTTTAAGTCGATAGAATTAAAATTGAGACGCTAGGTTGTTTAGAAACAGACAGACAGATATCAACTCAGGAGGTAATCCTGAAAAATAATATATATTTTTTATAGGGTCAAAGATTTTTTTTTTTGCTGTAGATGATTAGGACGTTTTTTCAAATTTTAATTTTAAGAGATTGTTTTTATGATAAAATTCCTAACTATAACCGATATTTTTGCTGTATATCCGAATTCTTAGTTGGAAGGGTATATCAACTACAGCATCGCTCGAAGTTACCTTTCCTTTCTTGCTTAAGTTGAATATTTGTTGTGCTTTCAATTTTGAAATTGTAGTTAGTTGTTGGCTCAAATATATTTTCTATTGTTGTCATTTTCAAGTTCAATTGTTATAAGATGCTTCTAAAATAGAAGTTAAGCGTGAAGGGTAATAGTACAGAACCCGCGGGCTATAATGTGTATTACAAAAAACGATTGAATGAATTAATCCAGCGACAAAAGGATGTCATTATTATGTGGTTGCGCAACATGTTTTATTCTTTTCGATTTTCTACCCTTTTTCCGTCCCATCTCCACAAACACAATGGTCATGTCCTATTAACAATGTTTTCCCTTAATCTTTATTTTCGTTTGCAGTGCAACCCTTAAATGCAACTATCCATATCATGTAAGGGAAGGATTTTCAGTGCGCTTTATGTGACAATTTGTTCATGTTCATTATTATTAAGAGAATTTTTTCCTAACACTTTGTAAACAAGAACGAAAATCTAACTTCAGGTGGGACCGAAGTTGATATACCCCTTAATTTAAGGTAGAATATACATATAAGCAAATATCGGATATAGTTGAGCGGTCCTTATAAAATGTCATTATAAATCAACTTATTATAACAGAAATACCAAATTACAAAGCAGATTTTGGTAGCGGTTCCGGCTTATATACTACGTGTAAAGAATAGAAAAATTGGGGTGTGCAGAAGGGTGTGTGCAACTATTCTGACGATAGCTTTAAAATTGAGAGACTAGTTCGTTTAAGGAAAACACAGATAGACGGCCAGACAGACATGCTTATAACGACTCAGGAGGTGATCCTGATCTAAAATCTGTATACTTTATAGGGTCAGAAATGTCTTTTTTCTTAGCTGTTGCACACTTTTGACGATAATTACCCTCTATAATACCCTCTGAAAGGTTGTAGGACAACCTTTGATAGATAATAAGCCTTTGTGTAAGTTATATACAATTTTTGTGATTCTGATTACTGAAAAAATTATATATTTTAAGCTGGCAGACAAATGGAAGAGATGCAAAAGTAGTCACTTGAAGAAAACAATAAGTCTGAACCATTTTTTTGTATTTGTTGGTAATAACATATTTTAGAAACTCGCAATCCCCTGTTACCATTACCACATATTTGAAATTATATTGGGCACGATCATACTCGGATTAGCGTATGCATTTCCACTCTTTCAAGCGCTTTACAAATTTGATTCTATCTCTTTTTGTTCATTTTTAAATGGATCGTATCATTTATATGATATCTGGGACAATTTTTGAGCAGCTCTGTAAATGGAAATAAGCACCCTGATATTCAAACGTATATGCATTAAGTTCACAAGGGTTGGTTTACGCAACTAATAGGTCATGTGCGACGGTCTTTTAACCACTTTGCCTTAGGGGCGGTTTCTCTTTAATCCTTATCAAAAGTACTACTATTTCTAATTACTTAGAAATTTGTAGAATGTGTAGTAGAAAAAAAAAATACAATAGAATAACAAAATTCGTCATTAAAAATGTTAAATAAACTAATTTATTTTTAAGTTTGCATATCCAATCTTTAAAGAATTTAGTTATTATACATACTTTATTCAATAAAGTATATAACATAAAAAAAAAATATATTCATAGTTTAACCACATCAGCACATCACCCTTATTTGTTTTCGTTACCCTCGATAATTCAAATTTTATTGTGTTGTTCAATTAATATTGTGAAGTCTTTGTAAAGATTCATAATGGCGTGTAATCCTGTGGACCTCTTAAGTGCGCGCCTTTTATTTATGCCGCCGGTATTTATTTGATCAGTGGGGTCGGCATTCAGTTTGGTTTCAATTTCTCCCTTCTACAATTTCATTTCAATGTGCACAAACTATGGGGGAAACTCAGCAGAATGAAAAGATCATTGGCATATAATACTATGCTCACAAATAAAATCGCATCATACGCAATCATTATTTCATAATTTGCTTGAGCGATTCAGTTTGGGTGAGAAAGTCAAGAATGATATGGTAAAATTATTTAAAACAAGAAAGGAAAGCTAACTTTGGACGTAGCGGAAGTTGATATACCCTTGCAGTTAAAACCGGACATATATCGCTAAAATCGGATACAGTTGGCCGATCCTTCTGAGAATATGATAATATAACCAATTTATTACAATACAAAATCTAAAAAAAGTCTCAAACTTTTATCTTCAAAAATATCAAAGTTGGTATTTCTACCAAAAACCATTTCCGATCGTTCAGTTATATGGCAGCTATAAGATATAGTCGGCCGATCGTTATGAAATTTGGTAGGTCGGATAAACTGACTGAAACTGAAAAATATAATCTGTACCAAGATCCAGCTTTCTATCTTCAAAAACACGAAAGTTGGGTCATTTCCGATCGTTCAGTTATATGGCAGCTATAGGATATAGTCGGCCGATCCTTTTGCCGTGTATATACTTGCCGATATATACTTTATAGGGTCGGAGATGTCTCCTTCACTGCGTTGCACAATTTTGACCAAAATTATAATACCCTCTGCAAGGGTATACAAATTGTTTAAATCTTTAAAATTTTAATTTAAAAATTATAACTTTCATATTCATAATTTTTATACCCTTGCATAGGGTATTATAATTTTGGTCAAAAGTGTGGAACGCAATGAAGGAGACATCTCCGACCCTATAAAGTACATATATTTTTGATCAGGATTACCTCCTCAGTTGATATGAGCATGTCCGTCTGACCGTCTGTTTGTTTCTACGCAAACTAGTCTCTCAGTCTCAGTGGAAACTTTGCACACCCCTTCTTGTCTTTGCACGCAGTATATAAGTCAGAAACGCCGGGATCGGCCTACTATATCCTGCTGCTGTAGAGCTATAGGAGCTATCACTGCGTTCCACACTTTTGACCAAAATTATATTACCCTCTGCAAGGATATAACAAAAATACAAAAAGTTGTAAACCAATATATAAATAGAACATTTTTTGAGTTATGCTGCGTGTCATTTTCAGAAAACTGAAGTTAGAAGATTCGCTGCTAAATAGAAGGACAGACTAACACGACATCCCAACATAAATTTGGTGGACAGCAGAACCACCATCAGAAGACTCAAGAGGAAGCATCCACTGGATATACTAAATTTACTTTTTAGATTCATACTTATTTATCAAACTCCTATTGTCAAGGTTCACTTACAAAATTTAATTATTGTTCCTAATTGAGGGCAGATTGTAAATAAAACTTTCAAATGTTACAAAAAAAAAAAAAAATTTGGAAAACGGCATTGGAATAAATAACATTTAAAACTTCAGCTGGGCCTACGGGCGCTGTCCCACATTAAATCAATGTGAACCGCAGTACACAAGGTGCCGAACTGCATGCGCGTAAAGACGCTATATATAGCCAAAGAAAAAAGTAGTTTTGTGCGTTTGATCTGAATAAATTATATAACAAATAAAAAGGTATGGTTTTCCTTATTCCACTTTTATCCAACATTATAAACCATCGTTTGGTTTGGGAGAAGTTTACGTAAATTTAAAATGATTATGATTCACTAAATTTGGGCAAGTAGGGACATTAGACAAAATATTCTCCTGACAAAATATTTTGATAACATTCTACTCATGAATGCGCGTCGATGGGCACCTCAACCCGGTCCGATATTGCATTCAAAAGATATTCAAGAAATTAAATTTTTCTACTTCCCAAATGAAAAGGTCCGAGATTGCATTCAAAAGATATTCAAGAAATTCGATTTTTCTACTTCCCAAATGAAAAAGACTTCTTCTTCTGAAAAAAATATTCTTATTTGGGACGTGCCACTAAAACAATATAACAAAGTAATGTGCCTCGTAAAAAAATGATGGATGTGCTTTTTATGATTTTTATACCTACAATTTTTTTGCTACTAAAATTGGTATCAAATATTTTGGTCGTGGCTTGCAGGTTTATCACTGGTATTTTATGTCGTCAAGAGGTTTTTTATTGTGGTGAACAAATTTGTCACTCCTATTTTTTTTTGCAATATTCTTAAATAGTTAAAGTATAAAAAAAATGTTTAATTTTTTTTTAATATTTTACTGTGGTGTTTCCTTTTAAAACTGGGACCAAGCCATTTTTTGAATATAGATAGATATAGCTACAGGAGCAATATGGTCGACTAATATATATCAAAGTATAGACTAGTAATATTATATTTAAAAATGAGATATACTCACTCATAGCCTTAGGGTCCAGTTGATATGGTGGTATGCCGCAATGCGCCGGCGGGGGTGTAGCTAAAGCGTCTGCATTATGACAGAAAAAAGGGGGAAGTCCAATTTTGTTGGTCTGGACATGAAATTAAGCAAATAGATAATGAAAAAATATTTTAGTTAACTTTAATAATAAAAAAAAGACAGTTTAAAATAAAAAAAATGTTGTATCCTCTTTTAAATAGTTTAAACCCGTTTAATATTTATATTAATTTTTAATATTACATATTTTTTTATTTCGCAAGAAAGTCTTGTTGGTTTTTACTTACTTATAAAAACTTACTTATACCAAATCTTTTTATTTGATACTTTACTGAAAACGTTTTTAGCTACCAGAGCTTTAGCTTTACCAAAAGCTAAAGTAAAGTAAAAGTTTATGGAAATCTTGTACCGTTTGCAAGGTTATGTTACAAATCGAATATTAACAAGAAAGGAAAGCTAACTTCGGGCGGAGCCGAAGTTTATATACCCTTGCAGTTAAAACCGGATATATATCGCAAACAACGGATATAGTTGGCCGATCCTTATGATCCAAGTTAGTTGGCCGATCCAAGCTTCTATCTTCAAAAATACGAAAGTTGATATTTCTACCAAGTACCATTTCCGATCGTTCAGTTATATGGCAGCTATAGGATATAGTCGACCGATCCTAATGAAATTTGGTAGGTCGGATCAACTGGCCAATAATAGAATCTGTTTCAGCTTTCTATCTTCAAAAACACGAAAGTAAGGTCATTTCCGATCGTTCAGTTATATGGCAGCTATAAGATATAGTCGGCCGATCCTTATGAAATTTGGCATGTCGTAATAATTTGCCAAAAATAGCTCTCGTGTCAAATTTGAACTCTCTAACTCTAAAAACACCAAAGTTATACCATTTCCGATCAATCAGTTATATGGCAGCTATAGGATATAGTCGGCCGATCCGGGCCGTTTCGACTTATATACTGCGTGCAAAGGAAAGAAGGGTGTGTGCAAAGTTTCAAGACGATAGCTTCAAAACTGAGAGACTAGTTCGCGTAGAAACGGACAGACAGACGGACAGACGGACATGCTCATATCAACTCAGGAGGGGATCCTGATCAAGAATATATATACTTTATAGGGTCGGAGATGTCTCCTTCACTGCGTTGCACACTTTTGGACAAAATTATAATACCCTCTGCAAGGGTATAAAAATTTGTAAAACAATTAAGTTTTAATTGTTATTCAAAAATTGTTATTCAACTTCTAAATTGATTGAATTTTTGAAATGCACCAGTTACAAATATGGGTACATTAATAGAAAATGCACTTTTCTAAAATCCAAACTTAAAAAAAAAAATGCTGACCATTTAGTTATTTTTTATAAATTAAACTGGCAGATTATAAAAGCTTTGTATCGCCCCCAAATAGTGTTCTATTCTTGTGCGTAGCTCTATTTTCTTTTTTATTGAAAAAAAATTTTTAAATCGGAGTACTTGGACTTGTAAACCATTTCTATAAAAAAAATTTCCCACTTTTGAGACTGTAAAACTAAATTTATTATTTAAAAATATTTTAATATTTTTGTGCAGATAGGTTTAAAAAGTTATTATTAATTTAAGCTTAACTATACAATGGACAATGTAACCATATCTCTAAATTCTATCTCTATCTTTAATATAAACTTTTCCATTTCAAACGAATTTTTTTTCCTTTTCGGGTTATATACATTTTTACTCGCTTATCTAACATTTGTATACTGTGTGTACTAGGTCTGGCAGCGTATAAACAATAATAACAAGCTACGTTAGCTACAGCGGCAAATGATTCAGTGAAACTGAAAAATTTTCTTTGATGTTGCCGCGGCTAAATGAATAAGAAACGTGCCGCTGGCATAGCCTTCCTTCCCCACACAGATCTACCCTCATTGACATCGAAATGTGATGTTGAATATATATTTGCTTTATTATACTTCCATGCTTTTTCACAATAAGAAAAAAATATATAAAAATTAAGCATATACATTAATAATTAAACATTTAAATAAATTCAAAAAAAACAAGAAAGGAAAGCTTACTTCGGGCGGAGCCTTAGTTGATATACCCTTGCGGTTAAAACCGGATATATGTATATCGCAAACATCAGATATAGTTGGCCGATCCTTATGAGAATATCATAATAAAACCAATTAATTACAATAAAATATCTAAAAAAAAGTCCCAAAAGTATTTGGTATTTCTACCAAAACCATTTCCGGCCGAGATCGGCCGACTATATCCTATAGCTGCCATAAAACTGATTGATCGGAAATGGTTTAACTGCGGTGTTTTTAGAGGTAGAGAGTTCGGGTTTGTACGAATTTGTACGAGTTTTACGAATGCTATTTTTTACAAAATAATACGACCCACCAAATTTCAATGGATCGGCCAACTATATCCAGAGCTGCCATTACCATTTTGATTGGTAAATAAAAACATTTTCCAAAAACAAATTGCCGCGTCCACGCATTCAAAATTTTAGCACATCTCCTCTAAGAATCTGCCGATTTGAATGAAATTTTTAGATATATATTAAGTTTTTCTTAATATGTACAAGTTTTTCAAAAACCTTTCAGTACTGGCGTTACAGAAATTCGCAATTCGTGCGGGCGGAAGGGGCGTGGCAAAAAATTTGAAACAATCTTGAGCTGCGTGGGCATTGTAGAAGTCTCCGTGCCAAATCCAATAGCTGTACCTCTTATAGATATATATATATAGATATATATTAAGTTTTTCTTAATATGTACAAGTTTTTCAAAAACCTTTCAGTACTGGCGCTACAGAAATTCGCAATTCGTGCGGACGGAAGGGGCGTGGCAAAAAATTTGAAACAATCTTGAGCTGCGTGGGCATTGTAGAAGTCTCCGTGCCAAATCCAATAGCTGTACCTCTTATCTCTGAGATCCACGCGTTCATACGGACAGACAAACATGACAATATTGATTTATGGGGTCTGTTCTGATACCTTCTCTATGTAAGAGAACATAGCGAACATAGCGGTAAAAAAAAACACCGAAAACCACAATCTTATGAAATTTCCGACCAACCGACCCCGGCCTTTTCGACTTACATATATACTGAAAAGAAAACCAAAGTACGATACGTTTAAAAGTGGGAGACTAGTTTACGTATCAACAGACCAACTAACATTCTTATTTAAATTCAGGAGGTGATCGTGATCAAGGATGTATACCCTATAGGGTAGGATATGTTCCTCTTTATATGCGTGTTACTCTTTTGACCAAATTACAAAACTCTCTACAAGGGTTTAAAAAGAACACAAACGGTCGCAGGTGTTATTTTGCCCTGGAGTGGATTGTCTGATTAGGTTTTATTTTGTATATATTTTCTTACCATTGTGACTGGTAATCCACTTGTGGACCCATTCGCATATGAATACGGCGAAACTAAATATCCCATATTAAAGCCTGGTGTGTGAGTATCAAGTTTATCTAAAATGTAAAGAATTAAACTTTATAAGTATGTAAAAAAAAAAAAACAAGAAAGGACAGCTATAGTCGAGTTTCCCGACTTTTTTATACCCGGTACTTATCTCTTCTACCCATAATTTAACTAGCCCTACAAGTTGAAACGTTAACGGTATGAATTCTCCGAAAAAATTGTTGTTGCATACTTTTGCGTTTGGCCAAAACGACAACTACGGCCATACTACCGATTCAGTAGGGAAGCAGACTAAAAAGTCTATAACTCCTTTATTTATTATAGGTGTTTATTAGCCATTGAAACAGTTTGGCATCAAAACATTTTCCAAAAACATTAACGAATTGGAGATTTAACGAAAACTTGGGTAACACAAATTTGACCGGCTGACACAAATGGTTGACACAAATTTGAAATTTTATTCGAAACTTAACTAATAATAGATTTTTATAATACCTTAATGTTTGGGATAACACAAGAAACATTTCAGAAAAAAGTAAAAATGTTGAATTTAACAGAAAATCAATGGGTCAAAATAATAGTAGTAAAATCTGCCAGCCTAAATAATTTTTCTAAAAATGTTTAAACAATTGATAATTATAAAGTAATGTTGAAAGAATTTTTTAGTATTTATTTGAACCGCCTGTGTTAGATCATAACGTCAGATCATAGATCAAAACGTTGTGAAGTGTTTTATCAAATAGTCTATCAAATTTTTTCGTAATTCAGGCTCAGGGTTTTATTTCTAGGACTAATCTCTTCAATTCACACCATAAGATCGCAATTGGGTTGAGATTAAGTAAAACAAGAAAGGAAAGCTAACTTCGGTCGGAGCCAAAGTTGATATACCCTTGCAGTTAAAACCGGATATATATCGCAAACATCGGATATAGTTGGCCGATCCTAATGAAATTTGGTAGGTTAGATGAACTGACCAAACCAAAACTAGAATCTGTACCAAGTTCCAGCTTTCTATCTTCAAAAACAAAAGTTGGGTCAATTCCGATCCTTCAGTTATATGGCAGCTATAGGATATAGTCGGCCGATCCTTATGAAATTTGGTAGATTGGATCAACTGACCAAAAATGGAATCTGTATTAAATTCCAGCTTTCTATTTTTAAAAACACGAAAGTTGGGTCATTTCCGATCGTTCAGTTATATGGCAGCTATAGGATATAGTCGGCCGATCCTTATGAATTCGTCGTATTATTTTGCCAAAAATAGCTTTCATGTTAAATTTGAACTCTCTTACTCTAAAAACACCAAAGTTATACCATTTCCGATCAATCAGTTATATGTCAGCTATAGGATATAGTCGACCGATCCCGGTCGTTCCGACTTATATACTGCGTGCAAAGAAAAATGGTGTGTGCAAAGTTTCAAGTCGATAGCTTTAAAACTGAGAGACTAGTTCGCGTAGAAACAGACAGACAGACAGATGGACAGACGGACAGAAGGACAGACGGACAGACGGACATGCTCATATCAACTCAGGAGGTGATCCTAATCAAGAATATATATACTTTATAGGGTCGGAGATGTCTCCTTCACTGCGTTGCACACTTTTGGACAAAATTATAATACCCTCTGCAAGGGTATAAAAATGGAGTGACTCAGTTCTTTCACAAAAAATACGGAAGTATCACTTCGCTTAAAATTTTTGAGTAATGGTGACGATCAGTGATGATTTTGAACCAATAAATGGTCGACCCTAATAGTATAAAAACTAAGTCAAATCAATTTCAAAAAAGTTTTTGAATTAATGTTACCTAATTTTTTATGTAACAATGTAAGAATTATTTTTTTTTTTTTTGTTGGAGGACTTTTATATTGAAAATATTTTTTCTAACTGTTCCGGCTTACTGACATTCTGGCTGCCCCACTAGACGGTTCGCTATCCTTTTTGACATATCTATCGCATTTTTTATGCTGGCTCATATTAATATAAGATTGATGATTTCTTCTCTACGTTACATACATTGTCACGACTGCTATATTGCTTTTAACTCTAGGAGTACCGGGTATAAAAATACCTATGTTTATATCTTTTAAACCGCCGAAGTTGCGGCATTTCTGATCGTTCAGTTATATTACAGCCAAGGAATGTAGTCCGCCCATATGGGGGAATGGGGTTAAATCGTGAAAAATAAAAATTTAAAATGAGCGTATTGGTTTTTTTGTTGAACTTGTTTCATTTTATTTATTGGAATTAATTGAATATTTAAATAAGATATTTAAAGAATGTTTATTTTTATACCCGGCACTCGAAAAGTACAAAGGTGTAAAAAAAGTCCCACAGAGAGAAGAGACGGGTATAACGTAAGATGATCAAATCTTAGGGATCAATATGGGTATAACGGCCCATTGACACCCATCAGTATGGGTGTAACGAGAAGTTGGTAAAATAATATAAAAACCAATAAAATTTTTAAATTACTATATACTTACTAAAAACTGGGCTGTGCTCCAGACGTACAGCTTTTTGGCCCTTGTCCTAAAACAAAAAAAATACAGAATGGATATACTTAATAATATAAGCTATATAAACATATTTACTTCTATATGAACAACATTTAATGTTATATTTTGTTGTGATAAAAAAGTCATTGAATCCAAACTCAATGTGTATTGTTCTTTTATTTAGTTTTATGACTGTAAGATATATCACTTCTCTTCCTTCGCTTAAGCGAACGGTCGTGTTTTTTGTGTTTTTTTTTATAATTCTTGCTGTAAACCGGGTTATACAAACCCTGCTTCTTCCTCTTCTTTTCTTGTGCAATAGAGGTTCCTATCTCTATTTCTTCATTTTCCTTTGCCCACTTGAATCGCTCTCTTCAAAGCTCCAGCGTTGGCTCTATTTGGCACTGTTCTTCAAGGTTTGTAAATTGTTTTTGAAACTTTTTATATTTTTAATAGTAAAATGTAATAAGAAAATCTCCTCATCCCTGCCTTCCATCCACTGCTGGCTATGTGAATACGTTGTACACGCCAAGTTTGCCGGGTTCACTGCCTCAGTTTCGGATGCAATTTCCCGTAGGTCTGGTTTCCAATATTGTCGTGCTTTCCAGGACGAAATGAGGTCGTTTATAAGACAGGCTAAGAATGGATTTTAAGAGTTGATCACTGGTTTTCGAAAAATCAATTGCCAGCTCTGCGCGCTTGACTCTCAGCTTAGGGTTCTTCAGCTAAATGCTAAAGGAGTCCCATAAGCGTAGGAGTGATGCGATGTTAGTGATCCGCTTCAGCCTGCTCTGCCAACAATGACAAAGCCGCTTATATCTCCAACTGCCGCAAGGGCTAAAACAAAGAACAATTCGCCGTCCGAATTTTTCAGTGGAAATGAGCAATTGGTCTTTCGTGGCATCAATTCAAGTGAAACCACAGATCCAATTGAACGAAACCCCCGTTAGAGTCACCCAATAGGGTAAACTACCAACCGGATTGCCGGTACCGAAAGATGTTGAAACATATATTTGTTTCTCGGCTTGTCCTGATACTACAGAGATTGATATGTCGGCTTTCATAACTAAAAGACATAACTAAACACATATTTATGTATATATATATAAGGCGCACGTCTTTTTTCAAGATTCATGATTTTTCATGATGCCCGCGATGATGTTTCAAAACGATTTGTTTACCCAGGAGTCCTTATTTTGGTAGACTCTAATCTCGCTTCTGAAGAGGTAGAATCACAAGAGTTTGGTGATATAGAATTTATTTTCATTAAAATCATTTTGTCCGGTAAATTCATATATTACCTGTTCATATATACCTCCTTCTAACCACCCACATAATGGCATAATTTGTCTGTCAATCAATCCTTTTTCAATCTTAATTCCGATTGTGACCAGATTTTACCTTTGTGTGACTTGAATATCCCAGAACTAAAGTGGTGTTATGCCGATAACTCGCCATCTTTATCACGTATCACGGGTAATAAAACGCACACATGTTTAACATTTGAGTTTGTTCATGAGAGCAAAAAAAACAAAGAGAGTATTCACTGAGCAAAAAAACGTAGTTTGTTAATTCAAAAGTTTTAATGGGCATTTAAATAGTGCCTTTTATATTTGAGAAAGTTTTTCTAGCAATTGTTGGTAAAGAAATGAAAAAGTGTGTTTCCCTAAATATAATTTATATGGAGAAAACTTATTCCTCCCAAATTTTGGATAGTATTTTTCTCAGAGAAAAAATTTTCTTTTTTAGTTTGTGAGTCAGGCAAAATGAGAGTCAATGAGAGAGCCAACAACTGATCAAAAACAATCATTATTCTCTAAAAATAATTAGTGGTTAATGAGTTATATTTTCTGAACATTTGACTGAAAATCTCCTTAGACCACATATGCAGGTACCATTTAGTACCATGTAATTTTCACTAACGTCCTTTCTTAACATTAACAAAACTAAACATGAAGAAATCATATTAATACCCTTGAAGAGGGTATTATAATTTTGGTCGAAAGTGTGCTTTGAGTTGATCTAAGTCGCACGTCTGTGTGCATGATGTGAAACTTTTCACACACCCTTCTTTCCTTTCCTTACGTATTATATAAGTCGGAACGTCCGGGATCGGCCGACTATATCCTACAGCTGCCATATAAATTGGTATACCAATACCAAAGTTGGTATTTTTACCAAATACCACTTCCGATCGTTCAGTCATATGGCAGCTATAAGATATCGTTATGAAGTTTGGTAGGTCGGATCAACTGACTAAATATAGAATATGTACGAAGTTCCAAATATCTGTCTTCAAACCCACGAACGTTTGGTCATTTCCGATCGTTCACTTATATGGCAGCTATAGGATATAGTCGGCCGATCCTTACGAAATTTAGCATGTCGTATTATTTTGCCAAAAATAGCTCTCATGTCAAATTTAAACTCTCTAACTCTAAAAACACCAAAGTTATACCATTTCCGATCAATCAGTTATATGGCAGCTATAGGATATAGTCGGCCGATCCTTACGAAATTTGATTTGAAGAGACTAGTTCGTGTAGAAAAAGACAGACAGAAGGATCGACGGACAGACGGACATGCTCATATCAACTCAGAAGGTGATCCTGATCAAAGACTTTATACTTTATAGGGTCGGAGATGTCTTCTTCACTGCGTTGCACACTTTTGACCAAAATTAGGGTATTCCCCATTGCAAGAGTATAACAATTTATAAAAATAAAAAATATAAAAAAAGTTACAAGCTTCTAACTTCAAAAATACTATGTTGGTATTTTTACCAAATAAAAAATACAATGTACCACCAAAAATACCACTGTATGTGGTTTGAGATGATTTCTTCTCTATGTTAATTACATGCACACGAATACAATATTCTCTTTTACTCTATAGGTACTGGCTAAAAAAGTATAACTTACCTCGCTTTCCGTTAGGTCTATCAAGCTTGATTTCTCTTCAACTAATAGATTTTCAGAAGATATTTTATCATCTTCACGATCCCCTTCGTCTTTGAATATTTTAACTTCATCAGTACTACATAAATCATCTCCAGATGATCCATGTCTGGTGTGTGTATGCGGCATGTTTTTACCCTTAAAATTTTAATGTGATGTCTAGAGTGTGCTAGATCTTGTTAGCTGCAACAAATATGGAATCTTCGAAAATTGTCGCCATAGCAATGTCCTTAGTCCTTAGTTCTGAATGTTGCCAGAATTAATACTTTTCGAACCGTTTGAGACATCTAAAAATGTAGATATTGTATTTAACAGTAAATGGGTTTTTATTTATCATTTATATTTACATTATCAAAAGAACATTATAACTTCGTCAAAAAAAAGATATTCATAAAGAAAATTCGAGACTTTTCAAGTAATAGTTAAAATTTTAAGTTTCTATTTACACGCAATATAAAAAAACACACAGAATAGGTGCAGATTGTTTGATAATACAGACCGACAAAAGTCAGTTTTTCATATTACCCTTGGGCTCCCCTGGACAAAAGTACAGAACAAACATAGATTTCATCACCCACAGTTTCCGTGGAATACCTAAGAGAAAAAATTTATCAAATTTTACCATATATTGAATTACGTATGCCGTGTAATTGCGTTGAACAGCGTTTTATAGTTCATAATAAAAAAAAATAAAATGATATGTATCATTTCCATATCTCCATATCATTTTTGAAATGTGTATTGATTTGAAATAATTTTTTTGCGGGAGTCAGCGGGGCAAAATTTTGAAACAAACTTGATCTGTGCGTGTATCATAAGAGTCCAAGTTCCAAATCACTTATTTTTTTAGTATATAAAAACAAGTGCAAAATTATTTCAAAGTATATGTTATAGAAAGATATCGTCTCAACTACTACGTGCAAAATAAAGAAGTTTATGTGCTTAATAATAAATATCAAAAATATACAAACGTAATTTGTTGTCGCGTCGTTTATACTCGTAGACAGAAACTATCAACTTTTTTTTTTTTTTTATACTCTTTTAGAGGGTCTTATAATTTTTGAAGGATAAATCTATAAATTTTATTTTTGGCCATCCGATCTGCCCAATTTTAACAGAATCGACCAACTATATGCTATCACTGCCTATATAATAGTTCTTTACAGCAATGGTATATTAACTTCCTATCCGCCCAAAGTTAGGTTTCCTTTCTTGTTCAGAATAATTTTTCATACATTTGGAGCAGTGGTCGGCACGGGCGAAATTTTAGGAAATTTCTCTGCCCGAGCTCTGCCACACACACACAGTATAAATGTCTGAAACTTCATGCTCAAAGCTTACTTTCTTCTATACGTTACTAATACTAATGTGTTAAAATTATATCAATGTATTGAGTGCCGACCACTGGCTTAGAGTACGTGTAATAATGAGTAAATACACATTTAATTAAAACAGACAAGAAAGAAAAGCAAACTTTGTTATATACCCTTGCAGTTGTATATACCCTTGCAACCCGAAGTTGTTATACCCTTGCAGTTACATCCGGATATATTTCCCAAAAATCGGATATAGTTGGCCGATACTTATGAGAATATATAATAGAATCAATTTATTACAATACAAAATCTAAAAAAATGTCCCAATCTACTATCTTCAAAAACACCAAAGTTGGTATTTTTACCAAATACCACTTCCGATCGTTCACTTATATGGCAGCTATAAGAAAAAGTCGGCCGATAGTTATGAAATTTGGTAGGTCGGATCAACTGACCAAATATAGAAGCTTTACAAAGTTCTATCTTCAAAAACACGAAAGTTGGGTCATTTCCGATCATTCAGATATATGGCTGCTATAGGATATAGTCGGCCGATTCCGGCCGTTCCGACTTATATACTGCGTGCAAAGGAAAGAAGGGTCGATAGTTTCAAAGTCGATAGCCTTAAAACTGAGAGACTAGTTCGCGTAGAAACAGACAGACAGACGGATATAGTCAATTCAGGAGGTGATTCTGATGAAGAGAATATATATACGTTGTAGGGTCCTTCACTGCGTTGCACACTTTTGGACAAAATTATAATACCCTCTGCAAGGGTATAAAAAGGAAAGGCAACTTCGGCCGAGGTTATTACACTATTGTATTTTCCTCAGTTATGGAAAGAATAAAGCCTTTAGAAGGTGGTGATGCATATCTGCATCATACCGTTAAAATGCCGTATTTCTTGATCGATCGGAAATGGTATTCGGTATAACTACCAACTTTGGTATTTTTAAAGATAGAAGCTTGGGACTTTTTTTTTTTTAGATATTTTGTTGTAATTAATTGGTTTTAATATGATATTCTCATAAGGATCGGCCAACTATATCCGATGTTTGCGACATAAATATATCAGGTTTAAACTGCAAGGGTATATAAACTTCGGCCCCGCCCGAAGTTAGCTTTCCGTTCTTGTTTTTTTTTTATAATTTTTGTGAGCTCCAAATATATGGTTTTTAAACAAATTGGTGATGTATGTTAATGGAATGTAAAAGTTATTTGACTTAAAATTTTTTTGATTCGTTAAGGTAACGTTGAAAAATAAAATAAAATTTATGAATTGAAAAACTTATAACTAATTAAAAAACGTTAGATCCAATAAAGCTATCTAAACATGCAATACTTCGTTGGAAAGGGATTTTTAATATCTATTGATCTTTCACTAAGAATAAATATCTAAACAGTCCGGAAAAATACACAAAGGCATTTTTTGAACAAATTTTTTATAATTGGCTCTAACGATTTGTTTTAATTTACTATTAAAGATAGTCCTTTAAATGACCCAACTTTTGATATATCGCCTGTATCTATAATAACCGTATTACTTAAGATATAATCTGATATATTTTGACTTCTCAACCTGACACTTAGTGTGTGTGTTATTTCGTTATCGTTAATGCAAAAATTCAAATGAGCACTAATATAGGGCCTTTGTATTTTTAGGAGAGATTTTCTAGCAACAAATCTAAAGAAAATTAGGCACTTCCCCATTCATGCTTTGTATGTGTTTTGGAGTTCTCGCTTATATTTCAAGAGTTCCGACTATGTGAATCGCTCATCAGAAAGAGAATACGTTTATTTCTTTATGAAATCATATTTCCTTTTTATACCCTTGCAGAGGGTATTATAATTTTGTCCAAAAGTGTGCAACGCAGTGAAGGAGACATTTCCGACCGTATAAAGTATGGTATATATATTCTTGATCAGGATCACCTTCTGAGTTGATATGAGCATGTCCGCCTGTCCGTCTGTCTCTTTCTACGCAAACTAGTCTCTCAGTTTTGAAGCTATCGACTTGCAACTTTGCACACACCCTTCTTTCCTTTGCACGCAGCATATAAGTCGGAACGGCCGACTATATCCTATAGCTGCCATAAAACTGATTGATCGGAAATGGTATAACTTTTTTGGCAAAATAATACGACATGCCAAATTTCATAAGCATCGGCCGACTATATCCTATAGCTGCCATATAACTGAACGATCGGAAATGACCCAACTCTCGTGTTTTTGAAGATAGAAAGATAGATAGATCTACCAAATTTCATAACGATCGGTCGACTATATCTTATAGCTGACATATAACTGAATGATGGGAAATGGTTTTTGGTAAAAATACCAACTTTGGTATTTTTGAAGATAGAAGCTTGGGACCTTTTTTTTTAAATATTTTATTGTAATTAATTGGTTTTATGATGATATTCTTATAAGGACCGGCAACCTTTATCCGATGTTAGCGATATACATCCGCTTTTAACTGCAAGGGTATATCAACTTCGGCTCCGCCCGAAGTTAGCTTTCCTTTCTTGTTAAAAATAAAATTACTAAATCTATATAAAAATAAATATACTTGCTTGGCCGATACAATAAAAAAAAAAAATTTCGTTTATATCTATAAACCAATATACGAGCTAAATTACCGGTGATGAACTCAGTGCCACGCCCAAAATATCTGATAAAAATTTTTGAGTCAACTCAAACTTCTCCCAAATGACATGTGGCCCAAATGACTAAATGTTTTTTATAAAAATGTACTACTGAAAACAACACCTTTCACTTGGTATATAACTCATTCATATCGAACACACACGGAAAATTGCCAAGTCTTCTGCTATATATGTATGTATAGTGTCCGGTCGCGCACTGTAAAGCTGCGGTAAAGCGGTTCGTCACCTTGTAGACTATCGTCTACAAAGGAAAATAAAAAAAATATTAATTTTCAATCTTCTCCTCTATAAAGAATTCTAAAAAGAAAATTAGTCCATTTGATATGGACGAAACAAATGCTGGTCAACGCAATTACACGGCTTACATAATTCAATACATATATGTACAAATGGTAAGATTAATGTCCTCTATGGTTTACGGTAAAATCATACATATGGTAAGATTTGATCAATTTCTTCCATTTATGTTCCGCAGACACTCTGGCTTATGGAATCTATGTTGGTTTTGGATTTTGGTTGAGGGGAGCCAGGTTATGAAATATATTGCTTCAAAGGTTATGAAGCAAGTAATATTATGCGTGGAATAAAAATAAATTAGATTTTGTTCCCTGTGTAGTCAGAACCATAAGTATAGAATTAAACATATACATATGTACATATATACATATATACATATAATTATATTTTGTAAGGCGAGTATCTTGGCCTGTCTGGGTCATTTTTGATAAACACTGTTCGGTTTGAAAGATTTTTAAATAATTCGGAGTATTACCCGAATACAATATCGTACTTTGCTACCTGTATGTCGGTTTCCTTAGATTTTAAAGCAAAGGGAAAGATAGGTAGTATGGTACTCGAAGAAGGAAATAACTTTATGTATGTACATAAATACATACATAGTTCAAGGTAAGACTTTACCTACAACAGCAGTGTCAACAACAACAAGCTACGCATCGGCGCAAGAATAATGACACAACGAGTTTCTATTTAGAGACCAGATTGTGGTATATCAACAGGTAGAGACCAAAATACGGCTTGGGCTATACAAAAATAAGAGTAAAACAGAATACAGAAAATTTTATTTTCAGCAAACAAATAAACAAACATCATGGTTTGGGTTGCTGGGTTACGCTGTCATTGTATGAGTGGTGAAGCCAAATCCAAAGACTCGAAACAGAGGATCTTCGGAAGAAGTATATATGAATGTATGTATCTACATAAAGCAAAATGACGCCTTTTACTACACTTGCGTTTAGAACTGTTTACATAAAAATTTTTTTATTTATTTTGCAAGTCGATTGTCCTTATGAAGAATTTGAAAAATATTTCAAAAGACAATATAATCTTATTATATTTTATTTTATTAAAATTTTCTTTTAATAATTAATATTATTTATTTAAATATAAATATATATGTTTTTATCAATATATAAATTAAATTTGACTTACATTTTTTACATGGGAAGACACAAATTAAAGCGGTAGAAAAATAATTTTCCGACGGCAAAACATGATTTTTAAAAGTTTGCTTTAACTTTCTTTTGAATAGGCCTAAAACATATTCCATGTGTTCCACAATTTCTATGTATGATTTTTCACTTTTTTATATAAATTTATACTTTTTACACACTTTCACAAATTTTTATTCTTGAATTGCAGTTGACGAGTACGCCGAACATTCATATGTATGGAGCTTGATCGCACTGTGTTCTGTTTGTATCTGCCAAAGCACGATACCGAGGTACATACATAAATATCCTAGATTTACATACACCTACACTACAACTGCATTAGTATGTATAGGTACGTACATATATAAATATATACTTGTCAAAGCAGATCGTAACACGATGGAAATATTGTTTTTCGCTTATTTATGTACAAATTTTTGTACTTAAAGTTAGGTGTCGGGCCCAGCTTAGCACTTCTGATCGAACAGGCACGAGGAACTTTAAAAATAAATTAACCTCCACACTTAAAAATATTCTTTAAACCAAATGAATCCGCTACCGCGATACGTCAGTAAAGAAATTCAAAATTAGAGTGGAGAAAAATATTCAAGCAACCATCGAATTAAACATCGTTTAATAACCTCAATATGTGGTCTCTAGCGATAATTTAGCCCATCACTTTTTGATTGCTTTCTGTCTCTCTCTCAACCGGTATAGCACGAACCGGGTAATAGGGGTGATAGAACTTCGATGAAAATAAATTATTATATTTTATACAATATATAAAATATCGATATTTTTATTTTTCAATAGCATTTTTTTTACCGTCTAATGTTTACATTTGAAAACTTTACAGCATGGTTAACACTTTTGTCGTTTGGTACAATCCAAATACAGTGCTGCAAAGTTATAAAATACATTTTTAATTTCTTATGAAAACAACGGAGTCTAATATATCCGCGCTTTCTAACACCAAAATTTGGTGCTTACATGCCCGCCCTTTGTGCGGTCTTTTAAATTCAATCGATTAATTTTTTATTGAAACAAAATAATACAAAATTTTTTTTTGTTGCGGACAATTTTCTGACATTTTTTAAAAATATTTTCTCAGGCGAACATATCGCGAACATTTTTATCGCGATATTGAAACATACGCACATACATCTAAAAAAAAAATTTAGGGGAACTTTTAAAGAGACCTAGTGGGAATTGTTTATTAGGTCGAATATAGTACAAAACCGTGTTTGAAATATTTTTAACACCCTCAAAATCTTGATTTATTTGGAAAACGTTTTCGTGACTATTGTGTGCTTAAAAATTCCTAAATGCTTAATTTTAAACCGATTTTAAAATTTCCTACGTTTTTCAATAGTTAAATGTTGTAGCTTTTGAAAAAAATATGTATCTTACATTATTTTAAACAAAAAAGATACAATTTTTACACAAGAAACTGACATTTTGGAATTTGGTTCGTGTTTTTCGGTCTTTGACACCATTTTTTCGGTATAACTTTCAAGGTATCATGATACAATTATATACATGATAATTATATAATATTACATATTATATTATATACATTATATACTAACTTCATGATACAGAAGTTGAAATTGACAAGATTAAATCAAGGGAGTTCGCTGCTAAGAATATGGAGGAGGCGGCTAGATATGAGAAGACAAAATTTGATAAAAAGATAAAAAAAATTTCTAAAAATGTATAAAAATGTATAAAATATAAATGATAAAAATTTAAGGCTAAAGTAATAAGGTTCTGTGTGGGGGACTTTGTGTTGCTTAAAAACACCGAGAGACAGCAAACGAAACTAGATCCTAAGTTCAGAGGACCCTTTTTGGTGGTCGAGGTATTGGAGGGAGATCGATACGTCTTAAAGTCTACACAGAACAGTAGACGTTACAAGTACCCACACGAAAGTTTGCGAAAGTCACCGGATGTGCAAATTCCAGAAGAGCTTGATGTAAATTACAAAGAACAAAGTCAGTTGGAAAAGTCTGTTGAAAAAGAGAATTCGTGAAGCCATGTGATTGGCGATGAACGAGAGTTGATCTAGAAATGTTTGATGAATTCGTGAAGCCAAGTGTTGGGCGATGGACGAGTAATATGTTTGATGAATTCGTGAAGCCAAGTGTTGGGCGATGGACGAGTGATATGTTTGATGAATTCGTGAAGCCATGTGTTGGGCGATGGACGAGTAATATGTTTGATGAATTCGTGAAGCCAAGTGTTGGGAGTTGGACGAGTGATATGTTTGATGAATTCGTGAAGCCATGTGATTGGCGATGGACGAGAGTTGCTTTAGAAGTCAAGTGTTGGGCGATGAACGAGTGATGTGTTTGATGAATTCGTGAAGCCAAGTTATGGGCAATGGACGAGTAATATGATTAATGAATTTGTAAAGCGATGTGTTTGGCGAAGAATTTAAAAGTTGCCTTGTACAAGTTAAGTTAAGTTATGTTAAGGAACATTATACGAATTTGAGATTAAAATTATAAAGTGGAATGAAATTCAGGTGTTTATTATAGACACGAGGACGTGTGTATGTCAGGGTGGCCGTGTCGTAGAGAAGACAATTCAGTCTCTCGTTAGACTGAGACTCTATGGTGTGACCATAGGTCGTGCAAGGATATATCATTTCTGGTATGATGGGGACTCAGTTGATGAATTGAGGCCGTGTGTGGTTTCGTTGTGTTGCTGGATCTGGTCTTTCTAATTTTCACTCGTTACTTCTATTCGTCTCGAGCTTTAGCGTGGTATCCTGTTGAGGACTGTTGAATAAGAGGCGGCTATGAGCAACAAAGGCAGCGAAGACTCGCAGCATCATCCAGGACTTGGAATGAAGGAGCAGCAAGCTAGTGATCAAGCGACTGATGAGAGTCGACGTGAAGAAGACTTCAATTCTCCGACATGCGAAGTGGGATTCGGCCCTAACCAAAATTTTTCTAGAGACGTATTCGAGACGGACCTGGTTAAGAAGCTACAGACGCCGGCAAGTGAGTTGCAACAGACTAGCGAGATTTTCCTGCCGAAATTTAATCCGGACGTTGTTGGGATGGATGCCACGCAGTGGTGCGCTACGATCGACACATCTTACGTGAAAAACCTAAAGTAACAGCGCTCTTATATAAGCGTTAAGTAAAGCTTTGGAAGGCACAGCGGCGCAATGGTTATCTCAAATATGTTACCCGGGAATAACTTGGCAACAGTTCCGGCAATTGTTTGAGCTGCGATACGAGACTTCAGAGACGCCAGCCGCCGTTATTGTAAATGTTCTTAATAGTCGTCCAGGCAACGGTGAAAGTCTGTCTGTTTTCGAAAGTCGCAGTGTGACGTCACTGTGCACTATTTGAATCCTGAATTTCCAAGTTTGCATCGCGCTGGTTCTTGGGCACATGGCTAATTTCGATCGGCGTCTGCAGCGAATGATACACACAACGCATGTTAACAATCGACGTGAACTGCAAGCGGAGCTGCAAGCATTCTCAGCGCTAAGGGAGCGCCCAAATTCAACAAACTGGGAACCAGAGACGAAGCGAGCTAAATCTGTGGAAATCAAATGTTATCAGTGTGGAAAACTAGGCCACAAAAAGCAAGACTGTAGATCTGAATCTCAGGGTTCGACAAATGTACATGTAAAAAAAAGTACAGAATGCTGGATTGGGGGTAAGAACGGAAAAAAGAGTGGAGCTATGCGCTATAGTGGAGCCTCAATCGAGTATGCTGGTCAATGGTGAGAGATTTCCAATTCCATTTGATTCGGGAGCTGAGTGCTCATTAATTAAGGGGAGGGTAAGGTATTAAATTTTTTTTTTTTTCATTTTTTTATTTTTTAAATTGAATGCATAATATCTGAAGAATATCAAGTCAATTCAAGTCAATTAAAGCAAAATTGACGAAGTTATTAGTTATTGACGAAGTTGCTTGCAAACGTTTTACATCGGATTTTTTTGTGTTTAAAACTTTAAAGCGTTTTTCCCACAACTCACGTTTTCAAAGTCGGTGCCCCTCATAACTTCAAAACTACTGCACCGATCCTTTTGAAATTTTAAACACCATTTCTGTACATATTTTACGAGGTAACGCTGTCGAGTTTTTTTTTTTTGTTCATAATTTTGATTTCGCAATGACAAATTAACCGATTTTTTCCCAAAAAATTGAGTTTTTCACTTCAAAGTCTTCGAAAAAATTAAAAAATTGCAATTTTCAAAAAACCTTTACAGCGTTACCTGGGGCAAACTATTATCCAACGAATGAATTTTCATTTTTTGATTACAAATGATCCAGCACCGAGTTATGAGGGGCACCGCAATTTAACTTTTTTTGGCGACACGTCCGGACAATTGCTACCATTGCCATATTTTTTAATATTTTTTTGTAAAAATTTGGTTAAAATTCTTCTAATGTCATACTTTAATAAACCGTTGGTTGAACAAATAAATTTTAACTGTGTCGTCAGGAAAAAAATCACAAAAACATGGCTTTTTTCGCATGATTTGACCTTACCCTCCCCTTAAGGAAAGCGTTTCTAAAAGTTAGTTGGTAAGAGAATTCATAACGTTATTTCTTTAAAGGGCCAATTTCTTTTAATGCCAATACCTACAGTACACCACAAGTCGAATCAAACATCATGATTGATGGCAACTCCTTGGTTGTTTTGTTTCATATAGTACCAGACTAATGTATGAAAAATAATATAGTAATCGGCAGAGAAATATTGGCTCAAGGGTTTTTAGTAGAAGTCTCCTATGATAATTTTAAAGTTGTTCAATCTAAAGTTGTAAACATTTGTGAAACCATTCAGCCTACTAATTTTGATAAAATTGAAACGGAGATGGTCGAAAATGAAAGAGAAATGTTAATATCATTGCTAAAGCAACATTCTCTATCTTTTATCGAAGGCACTCCGCAAACTCGTGTGAATACTGGGGAAATGCATATTCGTTTAATTCCTCACTTCCCTCTCTTTCTTTCAAGCGAACGGTCGTGTTTTTTTGTGCGCACTGCGTTTTTGATAAATATTGGTAAACCGGTGTTTACATACTTTGTGAATTAAATCTTGTGAATCATAACAATCTTAAAGCCTAAACCGTATCGCTTCGCGAGTGCTTTGGTATATTTGGAATCGAATAAATAATTTGTCTAAACTCTATTCCAAGCATAGCTCAGCTCTGCTTCTTCCCCGGCTTATCTATATTTTCAGCATTTCTCTTGTGCACTCTTTCAAAGCCCCCGCTTCGGCTTCTTGTTTGGCACAGTGGTTCAAGGTATTGTGTTTTTTAACTTTTTAAATATTAATTTTTGTCTTATTAAATTAAAAAAAAAAAATAATAAATAAAATGGAATTTAAACTGGTCTGTGCCATTAAGTCTTGCAACAAGACAATTTCCACATCCCAGCCTAGTATCCATTGCTGGTTATGTGAAAACGTCGTGCACGCCAAGTGTGCCGGTTTCACTGCATCAGTTTCGGATGCCATTTCCCGTAGGTCTGGGATACATTATTGTTGCGAAAATTGTCGTGCTGTGCAAGGCGAAATGAGGTCGTTCATGAGACAGACCAAAAATGGATTTAAAGAGCTTATCACTG